CCCTAAGCCCTGAACCCTAAACACCGAAGCCTTGGGGTTTCTCGTGCTGGCGACCCCACCTCGCCTTGTCTGGCTTCTACTTGAAGAGCTCAGAAAAAAGTGTAACTGATGAAAAGATACCTCTGTAGGGTTTAGGGTTTAGGGTTTAGGGTTTAGGGTTCAGGGTTCAGGGTTCAGGGGTTTGGGTTTAGGGCTTAAGGAGTTTAAGGGTTTAGGGTTTAGGGGCCATGAGGGAAGCTAAAAAGTCTCCTAGAAGCCCCACCTAGTTGGGGTTCAAGCAGCGCTTCTTTTTGTATTTGGTTTTGTGGATTCTGAACTTGAGGTACAGAAGCACCGTGGGACTGCTGCCACTCCGCTGGATCGATATACAAGCATCCCTGACAGAGGCAGGGATACCTACAGTCTCCATTGTAGTTCCTTCTTGGGGTTTAGGGTTTAGGGTTACCTTATAGGATCCTACAGATAAGGTTGGTTAAACTAAAAGGACCTACAACAGAGATTAGAGGTGTCAAGCATGATGTGACGTGCTCCGCCAGGAACAACAAAGACGCAACTAACCGGCGCGGTTTCGCAAATGCCGGACTTAAAAGAGCGACGTGCGCTCATGTTTGTACAGCTACAAATGGGCTACAAATGGTACCCACGGCACACTGACAGACACGGACAAGAGGCGTCCCAGGTCCCAGCTTCAAAGGACGAACAACTGAAGCTGCCCCTTCTTGAAATCCCTGGTGAATCTGCCAGCAGCGATACAAAGAAACAGTGAAAGGCTGAGGAGGGCATTGCTGAACAAGCGAGCTCAAGAAGACACGACGGCAAGCTCTTGCACTCTCCACCTCGTAAACCCGTCATTGCACTTCCGAAGTCGACAAGATCAGCATGGCTGACATCGCTTCGGGAGCACACGCTGGCAAATGATTTGGAAGACCCCGGCAAGAATACCCCTGGGCCGCCTATGTAAGTTTGTCTTTTTGTGAACCTATGATGCGCCTTCCTGGAATCTACTTAGCTCTTGCTGAGGAAAATAGCGGAAGCAGGTTGAATTTGATGACCATGAGTGCTGAGATGGCAAGCGGCTGGGGCTCTCGTTTCGAGGCCTGCATCGGAACGAATTGAACCCTTAGGGATGGCACGTGCTTTACGATATGGGCTTCCGAAAAAAGGGGACCCTGATATAGTGCCCTAAATAGTAGAATCCTTACTATAAGGACCCCAAAGTAAGGTACCCCCTATTTTCGGAAACTCCCCTGTGGAACTCGAGGACTAGTCACGACCGATAAGGTACCAAAGCCAGGATACTGGTGCGAACAGAGCAGCTGCGTCGGGGCCCTCATCACCCTCTCCACCAGCCTCATGTGCCTCTACCTTGCTGCTCTCCATCAGCTGAAACTGCTCAGCGACATATCGCTTATCCTTCACGCACCGTTCCAGCATGCCTTGGGCAACTGTTGACTTACAAGCATGATCAATATTCGTCTTTCGACCGTAAAAAGTCAAACAGCTAATCTTCATTACATCATACAAATGGAAAACGCTCTTCAACTAAACCCTAAACCCTAAACCCTAAAACCAAGATGCTCGGATAGCTCTGCAGCTTTGCGAGGAAACGCTCAAGGTTTGCCACGTGGGCATCGTGCCTTACTTGCCCGGCTTCACTGAGCACACTCAATGCTAAACCCCTAAAGCCTCAACCCCTAAACCCTAAACCCCAAACCCTCAACCCCTAAACCCTAAACCCTTAACCGGCCGACTCCTACCCCTTAACCCGAAACAGCCAAGCCCTAAACTGGTCATACTTCCGATGGCGCTGAAAAAGGAACCGTTATAATATACAGCAAACCGGTTTAGGGTTTAGGGTTTAGAGTTTCGAAAAATTGGAAGCAGGATTAAGGACAATTAGTGCTGGGGTTCACGATACATTGCTCTAAAGGATTGAGGCTATTAGGTTTCCAACTTCTGGGCTTCTACTGTAACCTGAAATCCAAACCATACACTGGTCATAACCTTAGGAGCTGAGTACCCTAGCCCCAAAAAGGTTAACCTTCTGAATTATGGTAGGGTTATATAAGCCCCAAAAGGTTAAAGGTTACCTACTCAGCCCCTTAGTAACTCTGGTGATGCTTGACCAACAAGCACTAAACGCTTGAAGCCCTTGGAAGCCCTGGGAGCTTTTTGAAGCCGATATGCTCTTGATTCTTAGGGTTTACGAAGGCTTTAAGCCTTAAGCCCTAAACCCTAAACCGTTTAGGGGTTTAGGGTTTAGGGTTCAGGGGATGCTTTTTATCTGAACACCTCTACCCTGGGACGACAAAGTCTCTAATCCCAGTCCCCTAAAGCCTAAAAGCCGGAAAAACACTGCCCTAACGGTTTATGGCTTAGGGACGTTTAAGGCTTATAGGGGTTTATGGACGTTTAGGGTGGACATCTAGGGCTTAAGGTTTAATTCAGGGTAGCTAAACCCTAAACCCTAAACCCTAAACCCATAGCCCGAAACCCTAAACCCCAAGAACTCCTTCAAGGCCTATGTACGCCAAAGGTACGACTCCCGGTCTGGAGGGAGCGGCGCATCTTTCATGAATTCGGTTCGACCTTCCTCCCAAGAGTCCTGCTTACGAGGTTTAGGGTGTAGGGTTTGAGGGTGTGGGTTACCTTAAGCCCTAAACCGTGGGGTTTAGGGCTGTAAGGTTTCTTGGGTTAGGATTTAGGGTCAACTGGTTATTGCGAAGATACGGCCTTACGTTTGTGGCCTGGGCTTCGGCTTATGCCGATGTGGGGATGTACGTTAGGCTGCGATCTGGAGTCTACATGAGGTTCTTGGTAAGGAGCTTAGTCGAAGCTAGATAAACCTAACATGGCGCACATGTCATTCTTTGCCTACTGTGGCAAATAAGAAGAGCTTGCTTATCATTCAGGTTGCAATGCGGAAATGTGGTAAACGCTCTGCTTTCCTTGTCATGATATCTTAGGGGCTGAGTACCCTAGCCAAAAGTTTACACTTTTACACGGTAGTTCTCTAAATTAGGGTCCCTCTTTAAGTCCCCAATATAGTACGGTACCCATATAAAAAGGACCTAAAAGGGACCCTAAATTTGGAGAACTACCCCCAAAAGTAGAATAGAGAAGACCCCAGAAGGTTGAAGCCTACTCAGCCCCTAGGTTATAATTGGGTTTTAGCTTTATACCCATAGGCTGCGTTGTAGTTCCTTTTTGGTACCTTATAGGACCCTAAATAACAGCCAAGACAATCTCCTCAACTGCGTTTCGGGTTTTACAGAGGAGCCTTAGGTGGTTTAGGGTTTAGGTTAGGGGTTTTAGTGTTTAGGCCCTTTAGGCTTTAGGGCTCAGGGGTTTGGGCTGTAGGACTCCAGGGATGTAGGGTTCAGGGCTTGTGGTTCAGAGTTTAGAGTCTCCTCCGCGCTCTCCAAGCTCAACGGCTTTATCGCCGACATGTGCTCACCCTCCATGGACAAGGCCATGGTGAGCGACCCCTCACTTTCGCCTGTGGTTAGGCTAAGAACCCAAAACTGCAGCAAGAATCAACGCCTGTGACCAAGAGGAGAGAGCGCTCATCTGCAATGCAGCAGCACGTCCCGGAGCCCCCCAAGTCAATCAAGAAACACAACTAAACCCACGATGAGGAGCAACAGACGGTCTAAAGCTCTGCGAGTTATTCTTGCTGTCCTTTGAGGAAAAATTGTGTACAGGGTCATACTAGATTAACATGCCCCTAGACTGAACTTTCCGAAAAGGCGTCTTAGCCTTTAACCCTACAGACCCAAGAACCAATAAAAACAAAACTAAACTTTTAAACCCCCGAACTTCCTAACACGAAACCCTAGGGCCCTTGGGCTTCGGGTTTAGGGTTTGGGGTTTCGGGTCTCGGGTTTGGGGTTTAGGGTTTAGGACCTAAACCCTAAACCCTTAACC